AGAATGTCGGGGGTATTGTGGTCATAGTGTGTTGGCTCTGAGGGAGCATGAATTTGGAATTGTAAGTCTTGTGCGTAGTTGAGGAGCTTGCGCCCCTCAGGGTTAGTTTTCCTGCAGCCCCAGGAAGTGTTTTTGGAGTTCAAATCTCCAGCGAGTAATGTAGGAACGTTTCGATTGAGAAGGTTCGAGTAATCGAGTTCGGTTGTACGTGTATTGGGTGGTTTGTAGGCCGAAATAATGAGGATCTGGGAGTTTTCCATGTTAAGGGTGATCGACGTGTGTTTTGGGGAGTGGGAAATGGAGTTTTTGACAATAATGGCAGTGCCGCCCCCTCGACTGTTGGGGCGGTCGTTACGGTAGATTTTATAATTGTTAATTTGGAAGAGTGTTTGGGTTTGCAGAAAAGTCTCCTGGATTAACGCGATGTCCACATCGTTTTCCCGGAGGCAGCCTTCAAATTCGTACCTTTTGGGGTACAAAGAGTTGGCGTTCCTTAGCTTTATCTTAGCTTTATCTGTGTGTAATTTCATTATAAAGCTTTTAAAATATAAAAATCCCAGATAATATCAAACCCGCATAAAATGCATGTTCCTTGTCCATATGTTGTCGATAGGTCTAATAGTGCATTTTTTTTAATTTAATAGGTAATAAAATATATACGTCAAATTATGTATTTAAAATCGATTATTCTAATAAAGTCAAACTGCCTGCTGAAGTCATCCTGAAAACAGTAGTCAGAAGCAAAGACCGTTATGAGTTTGCTATAGACAAGCACCAGAACCTCGCATAAAAGCCATTGGAACATTTTGGGCATATTTTTATTAATCTCGAACTAAGTAGATACATTCCTGCATCTGCTTAGTTCTTCTGCAATTTTCTGCAGAAAACTTAGGGTTTATGTTGCAGCTAAAACTTCTCGGAAGACTTGAAAAATTAATAACTCAAAATTGTGGGTGGCTTGAATACACTAATTACTTGAAAGTAAACTTCTCTTATTTGAAAATCTCCTAGTATCCCAGACTTCCGGAGGCAATTTTGAGTTTGGTACTTTTTTGTGCAATCCGGTATATCGAATTTTTGTCACAACTCGTCTATGACGTTTAAGCTTAAACTTGAGGTCCAGATCGTGAAACTCGGATAAGGAGCAGAAAAGTTATTGCTGCGAAACCACAAAGTTGACTTTTTGAGATCACCTCGTAAATAGGACAGATGGTGGATAAAATGAAAACCCGTTTCGAGCTATTTGGTTTATCTTTAAACTCTCGGTCGAATTCCAAAAAAAAACTTTTTTGTCTGACTAGAAGCATGCGAAAATTTGCAAACTTTTACATTTTTTATTTTCCCCCTTGTAGAAAATGGCCACTCTCGTCATGCCAACTGAATGTGACTGAATTTAAAATAGGGGGCGGGAAAAAAGCGATATAAAAACCTTAAAGTGACTGTATTTCGAAAACTAAACAATCGTTTTAATCGAAAATCAAATAGAAGTGGAAAAAAACTTATTAAAAAAAAAATTCAATAATTTGTATAGAACAACATTGGATATAAATAAGTTTACTCAGATCGTCTTACTTTCGGTTAGGGAATTTGTGGTTAAGCATTGTATTTCAGGGACACCCTGTATAACCCCATATGTTGATAACTATTGCCAATTAATACTGTCCCTATATCAATAATCACGTACCTAATATGCTGGTGCAATTCTTGATTGCCCAATTAATACTGGACGTTTTGATAATTAATTATTATGCTAAAATTCTGCTTTGGACAATACTGATTCAAACACACAATTCCGGATTTAGTTTGAATTCGACGTGAATACACTGATTTCAACATTACGTTAGAATCAATCTAAATAATATATTGGCACATATTCAGGCATGCCGCTCATTACTCAGCCATCAATTGGTTCTTTGTTGATCGAGAATTACAATATTTGATGTTAATTAATCGATTATTTGGACAATGGTTCAGTATGCAATTTGAAAATAATATTCATTATCTTTGAAACAAAATTAGGTTTTTTCTTGAAACTTAATTAGGGCTGAATAACATTTGTCCATTGTCTCTATCATAATTATCCTTGCTGTGTTTTCGGCTGTTTATAGTTATATTTGTATCAATCCTATAGATTCCACTAACAAACAATGTTCCAAAATTTATTCACATTTCTGGAATTACAAAATCACATGATATTACTGTTTAATTGACAATATATTTAGCTTCAATTAATTATTGGAGCATTATACTTACGTAGCAGCAATATACGTAACAGTATATAGTCAAAATAATGATTAATAACAAAGTTGAAATTCGATTTTCAACTGTTGTCATATTCTAGAAAAAAAATGTTTTTCAATATTTTTCTCGTACTCTATAAGTGAGCCCCTTATTACCCCTTAAAAGGAATGACGCCAATTTTGAATCACCCTGTGTGTCTGTTGGTATAAAAAATTGACAGAAGATCACAAAGTAATAAATAGGAATGCCTGGATAGCGGGTTTTGGGACTGGACTAAAAACTCGTCTCATACGAGCTCAGCATATAAACTAAAAACCTAATGAAAACACGCCGCCAACAAATAAGAGGAGAACAAAACATAAATCCGAACAAATTAAGAGAACTCAACAAAACTATTTCCTCATCAATCAGAAAAGACCTATGACAACACAACACTAGGGAAATACAGGCAGTGATTGAAACAAATAAGAGTCTCAATGTACTAAGGAAAAATCTCAGCCCAGGCCCAAAGAATATAACGATGTTGAGGAATACAAAGGGCAGAGTCACTACGAATAAAGAGGAAATACTACGGATTCTGGAGGAGTTCTATGGGAAGCTCCATAGATGCTCTGGACACCGCGGCAAAACCATTCCATATGTGCAAAACGAAGGCTCCGAAGATATTCCAGATATAGCAACATCTGAGATTGATAATGCTCTATGACAAATGAAGGACAGGAGAGCACCAGGAGACGACGGAGTTATGATAGAGGCTATTAAGGCAGGCGGAAGATGTGTTTACAGACTATTCACAGAATGCCTGCTTAGAGGAATAACCCCGGAGTTATGGCACAAAGCTGTTATCATCGTTCTACACAAAAAAGGTGGCAGGACGGAAAAGTTCTGGCGTGACCGACACCGTGACGAGGATAAACCACTTAAAGTCGAACAGCGCCGGACACGTGGCAAGAATGACCGATGGGCGGTGGAAAAGAAAGGTCGTTGAATGGAATCCAAGAGAGGAAGCCCGAATCGAGGGCGGCCACCAGCTAGGTGGACGGACGACTTGAAGC